GAAAAATTCATTTTGGAAAAATTCACACGTACTCGTAAAACCTATTACGTTTGCTTCTCGGTTCTTTCCGTAAAGAAAATAATTGCGTATAGTGTATGTACACAGCGGGATAAGTTAACAGAAATTTTGAAACTGTATAAAAGATTGAGGTCGCATAATGTATTCAATAAAATACAAAACATACTATTGCACCATTAATGTAAGAATTAAAAATATAGAGTCCAAACATTATGTTTATATGATAATAGTAGGTCTAGAAAATAATTTGAATTTAAACTGAATTCGTAACAAAATATTTGAAAAAAAATAAACTACAAAGAGACACTTCAGGAGTCCATTAAACCACTCATTAGATGAGTGTGACAAACTATAAGAGTAAAATCTGTCTACTTAAGCTTTGCCATGTACTAAAGGAAGATTAAATTAGATTTTACTATAAAAATAGAAGGATAACTAAAGAATTTTAATAAAAATAATGCTACATAATTTCATAGATCGCATTAATTTCATAAAAGAATTTAGAAGTTACTTATTATGTTTTTTACATAGCAAAAACAGCAAAAATTTTTCGGAAAAAACCGAAATTTTTCCGGTTTTTTTCCAGCAATTTGAAAAAAGCGGCTTTTTAAAAACTATATTTATATAGCTCTCATTTTTTACGGAAAAAACGCACAGAAATTTCTAAAATTTTCTAGAATGATAAATAAAATAAAAATTTATTCATAAAAATTGTTTATTTTTTCGTATTCTTAGATTATATATTATATAAAATGCTACCTTATAAAAATAAGAAAAAAATTTTGTAATGTTTCTATGTGTGTATATACACATATATTATATCATACATATACATATGTAAAAATATACATATATACATATATACTTATATATATCATACATATGACATTTATATTGTATAAGATTTTAATATATATTATTTAAAATCTTAAAATATAATTCTACAAATTTATATTTCAGTAATTTGTATATGTTGATCGAATCGGCAAATAAAACGTCAATAAATTTGACATACCTCAATAATGAAATTTCTTTAAAATAGCTTCGTGCACTGATCATCGAAATTCAGAAGACAATTGCAAAAATCGAAATGATCAAGTTCAGGAATAGATCGCTATGGGTTCGTCGTGTCTATAAAAACTCACTCAAGGAAATTGTTATCGATATTGAGGTGGATGCGACCGAAATCGAAAAGCTGATAGCAAAAGACAAGAAACGGAGTCGTGACAGGCATGATTTCACATGGACTTGCCATGTGAGATATCGAGGGAATTCTCTTGAAAGTCAAAAGGCATCGTCCAATAAAGAAACGAATCCAGGAAAAGGTAGCTTAGAAAATCATATGAGAATTCATTAGATACAAACGTTAAATGGGCAGAGAAACTTGTAATGTCAATGCAATTTATAATATAAATAATTATGATCGTATAGATTTAAAAGATTAGAAATGTTAATTAAAAAAAAAGTCGATTTTATGAGTAAATCCGAGGAAGAGAATCTGAGGCGAGAGAAACACCGAAAAGAAAACAATTACTTGTCTATAAAATCAAATATACGTCAAATATACGTTCATTAAAATTTCTATAGAAAAATCAGAGAGTAGAAAATTTCATTCGATACCAAATATGATTTCGAAGAAATCACGAAGTCTTTTCGAAGAATCTGAAGAAGTTTCTTCGAATTATATATTTTGAAAAAAAAGATGTAATTGTAAGGAATAATCACACACATAATTTCCGTATTTATTTATGTATAAAAAATAGAAATATTTTGAAAAAAATAATCATACCAATCAGCAAATAAATTTTAATATTTTAATCGTAAAACAAGACAATAAAGATATTGCTAAACTATATCCCCGACATATACCAGATCAATGTTAGAGAAAATATAGAAATATTAATTATAAAACAAAAAATCCACAACTAAATTGAAAGATGGTAAAAGGCAGGAGAATACGCACTCATCAGATTTAGCACAAATCGATATATAAATGAGAGATAAAAATATATTTATATTAAAAAAAAAATACCTATAAACAAGGAGATTCTAGGAAAAAGGGCGATTATAAACAATGCCAAATTAAATTAGAAAAATTTAAAAGAGTCTCTTTGAAGAAACAGTAAATAAAATAATAACATTTATAAATTATCCGTTAATACAAGTTTCCATCACAAAAATCACATCGACAAAAATTGAAAAACTCCGCTTGAAATACTTACATGAGAATTTAAATTTCAATATAAATTTGAATAAGCTGATTAAATCAAAACGTGCTTTCTTGACTAGAGAAAATTATTTGACAAAAATCAAAAATTTCCGCCTGAAGTATGGTAATTCTACCAATTAATAAAAACTTAAATTCTAATAATATTAAATAAAAATGGACTGACAAAATGTTCAACATTAAAGGTGTTAAATTTTAATGTTTTAAATAAGCGGATCAAACCAAGACATCACAGCAGAAGATCAAGAAATATATCACGGCAAATGCATTGGTTCAATGCATCGGCGTTGATTGAAACAAGAAATAACAGGGGATTACATTTTTAATTAAACAGTATTTATAATCCAAAATGTAAAAAATTAATGAGAGAAAATTAAATTTCAGAGATTTGATGTCAATATAGTTTTGCCAACTAATATTTCACAAATTGCTTCACGTAATTCATCGAAGAGTTTTAACAATTGGTCTACTAAACAGAATAAAATAAAAAAATGTTATATTTTGTAGTGACATTCTTTTGTGATACATAGACCTTTTGATAAACATTTATTTCAAATATTTCATATTTATATGCAAAAAAAAATTAATTAATTTTTATTCTTGCAATATGTATATCTATGAGTTGTTCAGAAAGTTCCGCGATATTTTATTAACTCAAAATTATGTATAGCTCAGAATATATTCGTTGCAAAATTATCTGATGTGAAAGCTTAAAGTTATCCCTAAAAATTCGTTTTTAAAAATTTTCCTACAATATTTTGTTACCGAATTACACGTGGGTTAAATAAAAGAGCATTCTGATTTTGATTGCTTCAAACTCCGTTAAAAATCATCGTACCGCAATTAAAAAATTCTTGAAGCTGAAACTTTGCTCTATTGAATGATATAATTGCTAATTTCTTAAATGTAGAATATATTATACACAAATTTGAGCTAAAAATATGACATTACTGTCTTTATAATCATTGCGCAATAGTTAAAAGGAAAGTAATGTCATATTTTTAGCTCGAATGTATATATTTTCTATTTTTTTTTAAATTGGTAATTATATCATTCAATAGAGCAAAGTTTCAGCTTCAAAAATTTTTTAATTGCGGTACGATGATTTTTAATGGAGTTATGAGCAATCAAAGTTAAAATGCTCCTTTTTACTTAACTCGCGAATAACTTAAGAACAAGAAAAAATCATAGGAATATTTTTATTTAAAAAACCGATTTTGTAGACAAAATTTCAAGTTTTCACGATAGATAGTCGAAAATTTTTTTGCATATGACAGACCTACAAAGCGAGAAGAAAAATTTCTTTTTTTCAACTCGTAGTTTTTTATATATAAAAATATTATCAAATTCACATAAACTCAAAAATTATAGTTTTTTGAAAGTAGAAATTTCAAATTTTGAAACTCTTTTTTTAAATTTGAATTTCGTTCATTTTTAACAAAGATATTATATAATATACAAAGATATTGTATATTTTGAGCTAATAAAATACTGCGGAACTTTCTGAACAATCCAATAGTAAAAATATTAACCTTCTTTAATTGATAAATGATAATGTTACGATACTGTTACAACACAAATATAACTGTCTTGGTAAATAAAAATTGCGATCAAGGAATTGACATCTACATGATATTGCATTACCTGTCTCAACTGGTTAGTTCCTGCCGTCATGTCATATTTTATTGTTACCTTTCAAATATCAGAGATCGAACAAATATATTAAGCCGTATTGATAAAAGAGAAAAAAATTGGAATTGATTTATATATGTATGTATTTTATGTATAGATGTCTCGATGATATCTGCAAAAATAGATAATACAGATTCACGGAGTGTCTCGCTTAAGTAAGAGAACAAAAATAAAAATTAATCGGCTACGAACACTGCTTTGATTGAACGCGTAGTTTATTAAGACGAACAAAGTGCGATCAAGCGACAAGCGTATCGAAATCGAACACGGCACTCTCGATTTTCCGTGTCATTTGCGAAATCATATTGGTTTTGCATTGATATGAATATTATGATTAATAACGTGTGTGACTCACTGTAGTAAACAAAGATATATATAGATATCATACACTGAAAAAAAATACAGTCAATTTTAACAAATATTTAGTTTAATACTGCCAACTAAATATTTATTAAATATAAAGATATATTTATTTGTTACAAGAAACATTAACTTGATTTAACAATCATTCTTTTTACTGAACAAATATTTATTTGTTGTAAGTAAATGTTTAGTTGGCAGTATTGAACTAAATATTTATTAAAATTGACTATATTTTTTTTCAGTGTATATATCTCTTTTCTAAAATCGTACAAGCTATTTGTCGGCACACAATCAATTAATAATAATAAGATTATATGTGCATACATATAATCTTAATAAAAAAATAGAGTTACGAACAACTTTTGAAATTTAAAAAATTCGTACTACTTATCTATTTCTGTTGTTTTCAAAAAGAAATAGCATCTTCTCAAAAATGTGTGTTTACAATCATTTTTACTGATTATCGTTATTTTTTACTAATATTTGTAATTAAATTCATCGCGGTCTTACGATATTCTATTGAAAAAGACCGCGATTAATCAGTATATGTGTCAATCCTTCTTCGAAAAGTTCTAGGATGATTATGGGTGGAGTTACTACAACGGGGTTCGTTCATGGATAATAAATCTATCCCTACCATTTCAATCGGTCAGCAGTATATGTACATACATGATGTGTATATCATATGCTACCGGGCAAAATGGCTATCAGCCACAGTAGCCACCTGTTCGTGCTTGTGGCATTTGTCTTCTGCCTTCTGTTGCCATTCATTCATGTCTCGGATTCATACAGTAAGCAACTGACTTTATTTTATACACAATTTTACAAATAAATATTCGATAAAAAACTTATTATTTCGCTATCACAATCGGTATACAATAGTGTCAATATTAGTACCTTATTTGACATTTTGGAGATAAGCAATGAATTTTGTAATTATATAAGAGGATAACTTTTAAGATGTTTACTAAATTTTTAATTCCGTAATTTTCAGAAAAACATTATTTTGAAATGTTTATTTTTGCAAAATTAAACAAATCACTTAAAACCGCTGGAAATTTATCAATAATTTCATATAATTAAGTATCTATACTATATTTTATATATATTATATTTATAGTATATATGTAACATTACAATATTATAGTATCATTTTGATAAATTTTAGACATTTTTTAGGTAATTTAATTTAAATACATTCACACAGACACATTTTATAAAATTTGAATGATATGACCGTGTGATTTCGGACAAAGTTAATGCATTATAGATATGCGAATACAGAAAGAAATTATAAGGAAATGCCATAATAAGTTACACTGTTATATTACAATCACAATGTTACACTATTAACATAGTTTATTACGTAAGATACGACAAAACAAACAAGAAAAACAAAAATCAATTAGAGTTCTATAACTGACGTAACACGAAATCCTTATCTCTATCCGCTTCAGCGGATCGACCAACACGATCGCAATTATAAAAGAAAAAGATCGGAAGGAAAGTTTCTCTCGCCTTTGCAAAGAGATTCCTACGATCTTTTTCAATTTTTCTTTTATGTTACAACGTTATCACAACGAATCATATTTAATATAGCTAAGGATGTATACGTATATCAATCGGCACGCTGTCGAGATTATGCTGAATCATGATAATTTGATTATCTTATCTCGCCATGTCTGAATCCGGTGAAAATCGCCATTTTCACGCTAGCGTCTCGATCAGATTATTCACAGACACGAGTAATTATCGGGAAACGTGTTGGTTATACGGTAAATTGTACACGCCTGTGTACACTTTATTCCATTCTCTCAGACATCGCGGCAAATGTGCTATGAATTAAATATATCTTCTTTGCGTTCTCTTTTCAAATGCTTGCTTGCATTAATTTTTTTATACCATTTTAGCTTTCGCAATATTACTATAGATTAGATCACACACACATTAGAAAATTCTATTACCTGAATAAACGACTTTAATTTTTTTCGCTTAGTATAGCCTTATTACCAGTATATATATATATATATATATGTATATATGTATAATTAATAATTTTAATTTTGAAATAAGAATTATAAAATTTTATCACATGAGGACAATAAGATCTTATTTTTACTCAAACGAACTTACAAGTAAAATTTTAATTATATGAACTATAAGCATTGTAGTTGTAAGACATATTTAATAATATATTAGACAGTGGTAGGAAAAAAGATGATGTCTCGTCTAATTTTTCCTTAAGGAAAAACTGACACCAAATTGATTAATAGCTCATAACTGAAAGAAATCAGAATATACGCGATCATCGCAAGAGAAACAAAGAAGTTAGAATTATATATTATGTATATAATATTACATTAATGTTAAATGTAGAATATAAATAAGAATCTCATCCCTCTTCCTCCCCCCCTCTCTCTCTCTCTTTCTCTTTTTCTCTTAACTATTTATCTACCTATAATAGTAACTTTGTCACGAGATAAAGACAGCTCATTTATTTGATATTCACTGGATTTCAGCGAAAATCTTTTCGAACAATTAGGTTAAGCCCTGACGTCAATCTCGCAGATAAACTTGAATCCGTTCGAAATGGTTAACATCGATTTTCTATTTCTGTCGCGGTTCGTATCGCGATCGTAACGCGTCGGGTAAAGTCGCGGAGCGTTTCGCATAAAAGTCGTGGCCGAATGCAATCTCCGTGCAGCGATAAAGGCTGTCGGATACTTTCAGCTCGTTATATCGATCCGCTCAAAATACGGTGCTAACTTCGTAGATTACAGTTTACTCCGTGTCGTACTCCAGCGTCAAAGGGTAAAGTTGCTTTTTCCCCAACAAAAGCTGGCGCACCCAAAATCTAATTCCATCGTCAGTAGCGGAATATCCTATGCATCATAAAATAAATTAAATTTTACTAAAAGTGCTGCCCATTGGCGAGTTAATGTGAATAATTTCTTTTCTGTTCCTAATTTAATCGAAATCGCACGAGTTTCGCATTAATACATTTTATTAGCGTCATGAATTTTTGTGGCGCTTCTCTTTAGCTAAAAATATTTTGATAATACGTCTATAAATTGTGTTTCATAAATTATTTTATTTTATTTTTTTTCATATCTGAGAGAAATATGTTTAACATCTAAAATATATTCAATTATACACACATTACACTCAATGTTTTAAAGATCACTTTGTATTTAAATTTGATTGAAAATTAAAAGAAAATGACAGTTATTAATCATGTTTTTGTGTACAATTTTATTGTACTTTTTCCATTTTCAGTATCCTCTTAAAATATAACAATAACAATAATAATAATAATAAAATCATATGTCTTCAGAATTAAGCGCAGTATCTTCGTTTTGTCGAATGTAAAATTTTTAGCTGAAGTTAATTATCTAAAGATAAATTTTTGTATAACGTCAAAACGACAACGATTGCTAAAAAGTTTCCCAGCAAAACTAAATATACAAACGAAAAAGAAAATGGTAGAAAATAGCCGTGGTGACAGTACATGCATCTGTATGGGCGTGTACGCGAGTGTCTGACAGTTGATGAATCAAAAGTAAATACCGCGCGGTAAATGGACTCCACGCGAGAAACGACTATACCGTCGTAACGCTTTATTACTTTTTATCTTTTCAATTACCATCCATGTCTCGCTAGCAATTAAATATCGTTAAACTGTACCCGATTGTGGCTAAAAGCATACATCTTCAGCTAGACTATGTCGCCAAAGCGATCGTTTCATTGTACGTTTACGAGTTAATATACGTTTCGCGAAACTGATTTCTTTTCATGCATTTATCATCTTCATGCTTTATTGTGCACATAATTTTTTTATACTGCTGTCATTACATACTGTATTTAGTCAACGAGATATTATAACCAAGAGAACAGATTATTTTATGAAAAAAGTCAGATTGATAACAAACAGAAATATAAACTTTGCAGAATATTGGAAAGAAGAAATAATAAACGATGAATTTGACAAAAGAAGTGGTTTTATAAAAGACATTGATAAATATTTTTAAAATAACACGTAACATATACACATACATATACACAAATGATTATGAATTACAAATGGAAAATGCAATTGCTGTAAAAGATACATATTTATCTGTTTGTTAAGAAAATGACTTTAATAATCGTTCACGTAGCTACTTTAGTATAAAACTAACATATCCCCAGTTTAACCTCAAGTTTAATAAACAAGAAAATCAGGAACGATAACGCATGGATAAGAGACATTAAGTGACTCTTTGACAAGAACCCTCAACTTCAAGTACTTCGGTTTATTTCATATTATATGTTCAAAATGTAACCAAGTGGTGATTAAGTCTCGTCTTTAAGGACCAGATACCTAGCGTCAGTCTTGTTTGCAGATTACACCGACTCAAGACAGTTCGAGAAGAACCTCGCAATTCCGAGGCACAGGAACACATACAACCGTATTCAGCGGTTACCGAATTACAACTGGAAACCACCTGACAAGTACTATGGCCCGAGGTATTCCGGTAAACCGCAGTCAGTCACTGCATTGATAATACAGGATGTTCATAAAGTTCCTGTTTTAGTTTCTGTTATGTCAAACGTCTTATACACATTTAGACTAGTGAACAATAAGTAAATTTATAAAGTATTATAAACAATCTCTTTAAGAAATGAAGAATTACATAAGTTATTTAAAAAATATCATACTCGTTCGTATAAAGAATATCAAAAGTTAATATGTATAGCTACAAATTAATAATTACGAATTATAAATAAATAAATTTTTAGGTAATAAAATTCGTGAAACAGCTTATTATAAATAAAATTAAGAAGCCAACCGTTTTAACAGGGAAGAATCGACGGAGAAAAACCTGGGGATGGAATTTACAAAACTCGAGGATCCGGAACAAAGGACGGAGGATCCGTGGATAAAGAAAATGCAGGAGATAAGCCGACAGGAAAGAGAAAAATGGGCAGCGTATAGAAGAAACGTGAAACTTACCCTCGACAATGTCGAAGAAACTACGAAAGCAGGAAAACTTACGAACGACGAATCGATCCCGGTAAGGATACACAAAAATTATTCTTTCTGGAAGGACCATTAAATTAACCAGCAGTTTTGGCATTATTATACATCAATACAGAATCTCCAAAAAAATCATGATTAAATTATTAATTCCCAGTATTCAACAATAATTTTAGTATTTAACTTGAATTTGGTAATGAGGATATGGATCAATGTGGGGAATTATCTACAAGTCTATACAGCTTCAAAAAATGTATTTATTGTCTCTTACGACAGATTGTAAATTAACCTGGGAGTTAATAAAAAGAAACTATTATTTTATTAATTTATATTTTATTAATCCAGAAATATTATCATACATTGGAAATAAGTATAGATGTAAATTATAAAATTAAATTGAAGTCAATTACTAGAATATATCTTTAAAATCAGTTTATAATAAAATAATTACAAAGTTTAATAAAATAATAGTTTAATAAAATATATTACATTTAATAAAATTATTATCATTAATAAATATTAATATCATATATATAAATTTATGAAATATAAAAATCTTTATGAAATATAAATACAAAAATAAAATATACATACATCTGTCACTAAAAATAACATAAAAAATATCTTAAATATGTTAACTTAAAAATATATATATATATGTGTGTGATTTTTTTTTATTATGTGTAACAGCTTGATCCTACCACTTCAAAATCGTTTGTACGGCATCCGTTAATGGATCAAAATAGTGTGGACGTGAAAGACTCTTCTAGGTCAAATCGATTTCATGACTCTTCTTGGTCAAACTCAAAACAATCCGCGGCTACAAATATCGATGAAGTATCTAATAAAAATCTCAAAAGCAACGAATGGAATACAGAGATGAAAAATTTATCTAAAAAATTCCTTTGGAAGGCAATTCATCAACGACACAAGGACTACGAAATATCCGACATGAAGAGAGATCCGTCCTTGCGAAATTCATCTACCAATTACGAAAAAAACAAACTTGAGGAAGATCGTTCCAGTTCCATAATAAATTTATATCCTAAAGAGTCAATCTCACAACAATTCAAAGATTCACATATTCTTAAAAGTAATATAAGTATGCATAAAAATTTTATGAAATTTTCAGAAAACAGTAACAATGATAAAGAGAATGAAGAAAAAACGGCAAATTTGTTGATGCAGAAAAGAAAGAAGAACAATAATGTACATTCGCATTCCAAAAAGTCAATTTCACAACAATCGCAAACTTCACATGTCCCTAAAAGTCGCACGAATAAAAATCTTAAAACTTTTTCAGAAACTAAAAAGAATTTAAATTTAAATCATAAAATTGATTCCAAACTTTTCTCTCAAAATGACGAAGAAATCAATAAGAATAGCAAAAAAGATAACGAGAAAGCCATAATAGCGAAATCGTTGATGTGGAAGATCAAGAAAAAGAAAGATGACGCGAGAGGAAAGGATGTGACAGAAAAACGGAATCACGAAAAATCATTTCATTCTGGTAGATGGGGCACGAGCATCTCATCGCCACCTATAGAATTTTTGAAGGATGTACCTCGACGATCGAAGCATCGGAAAAATGAGGAACAGACGGAGACAGACGAAAAGCACTATTTGTTTGGTCGATGGGGTATGAGCGTCACTTTACCTCCGAAAGATTTCCTTGAGGACATCTCGGTGCATCGAGGACACGGAACCGAACGCTTTACTACGAAAAGAGGGTCAAGGTTGAATGAGATCGAAGGATCTTCCAATGATCGACCGCTAATTCATCAAAATCGTCGGAATTTAGAAACGGCTCTAGTTCAAAAATTAATGACTGACAAGCGCTATAAGAAACTTGTGGGAACTTCTGAAAAAGTTCCAAACGATTTTTATTATTCCCGATATTTAAGTCCCAATTATTGGAATAACTATCCAAATGCTGATCTTAATAACGGCTTATTTTTGAGATTTTTACAAGCTTTGCGATCATATATCTGGCAGGATGATATAGACATACCAATGTTCTGTCGTATACGAATTCCATATGCTTCATCTCGTATCTAAAAATATTCTTTAATATGTATTTATTTTATTTCATTGTTTTAAAATAAAATAATTAAAATTGAACTTGAATAATTACACTTTTAAACATAACTGTGTCAAATAATAATCATCTAAAAATACTAAAAGCATGGGTATATTGTTTAAATAAATTCTTACTCGTTCACGTTCAGAGTGGACTAAAGATATCTTTAATATTTAAAATACTTTAATAAAGATATCTTTGTTAGGTAATAAATGTATCAATTATTTTTCTTTCGTAATAATATTCCTCTTATGTGCAAATATATATTTTAAATTCATTTTGTCATTTTTTAAAAATAATTTTTCATATACCTTTTCGTACAAAAATACATTTATACTTTTTCAAGTAAATACTTTTAATATATCGACACTTAATTAAAAATTATAATAAAATATACGTTATGTTCATTACTTAATACATGTATTTTTCTTGTATGTACACTTGGAAATTACCAGTCAATTTTTTTTAGTTATGTACATTAAAAAATGTACATAATGCACAAAATGGTAAAATATAATTTAATAAAGAGCCACTATACTGTGTATAATATCATATATAATCCGTACAGGTAATTTTCATTATGAAAGCATAAGCAGTTGGTTTATTACTAATAATAATATTGTATTTTGCACGCGCGCGCGCATACACACATACACACAATAAATTCGAAGTATAAAGATAGTATCAAATATAAAACTCTTGCCCTTGTGATAAGAAAATAACAGATACAAAATCAGTTTCAAGTTTCAATATTTCACGAACATAAGTAATTTTAAAAAAATTATATATTGTTAAAAATGCAAGAAAAAAAAGTTAATCAGATAAAATTATTATACTTCATATTTAATTAAATTTTTCAATACGGGATGATATATTTGTAATTTCTAAGCACAACCACATAAATTAATATAATCAGTCTATTAAAGCAGCATGTTGACATTTGCGGCATCGTGATATCGTAATTTAGAACTTCGCATCATATAACCATGTAATCATAGTTTATGTACCCACGTTAATCGAACAAATAGACATGTTGTTTGATAATATCTCTTGTTCTTTCTGTAGTTGCGTATCTTTTTTCGTCACAATCTCTGTTGCAACGAGGTAACATAAAAGTCGTCGAGAAGAAATACACAGAAAGTAAAATGACATTCCACTAGGATAAGCCCCGAAAAAGGGATCGTCCTTAGGGAAGAAATTCTCGGACATGGTAATAATCCGCAATGTTAAAAACACGTGACAAACTGCACATCGTTAAATTTTTATCATATACAACCATACTGTTGAATATTTGTATATAAATACTACATAAATAATACTTTTTTTCGTTTTACATTATATTCAATACTTCTTGTTGCATTATTATATTTTTCTCTATACATATACAAAAGCATCAGCAAATATTTAAAAATACAAATATACAATCAATCCATTTCTTTGTTTATTTCTTTTAATATTTCACACTTTTCAATTGTTCTTAAATCATGTTAAAAAATATAATTTACTTTTAGATTATTTTATATTATTTTAATCTCATGCATAAAAAATTGATAATAAAAATATACAAATTTTAAAAATAAATTTAAAAAGACTCTTTTTATAAAATAAAATTAAATATATACTTGTAATATAAGCATTACAACACACATTATTTAAATAATTGTGTGTATTAAGAAATTTTTCAACATGGAGATTTAAAGTGATGTCATTATATCTTTGTTATTTTATCAATAGACATATTCGCAAAAATGTAAAATAAAAGTATTAAAATATAAATGCATAAGTATATGATATAAAAATCAATCATTAAATATCATCATCTTCCACCATTATTATTAGAAACTCCGTATTCTGCCATCAGCAGCATTTCTAATTTGCTGCCAATACAATTACGACTATTAATGCAACGCATGTAGAAATTCTTCATGTTAAATGATCTCGTCAAAATAATTGATGCGGATTAATAAAGTTTTTTCATCATAATACAATTTATACCATAAGCTTGCAATAAAATATCTATATATAATTACACAATTAGTAATAATTTATGAATAATAATAAAAACATAATAAATACATAATAACATATAAATTTTGATATAAAGTTCATATAAATTTTCTGAATGTTCCAATTTCTGATAAACCATTCATTGTTTCAGCACGTAATAGGTACGATATTGAAAACTAATTTTATATTTTGGTGACTTGCAGTGATGACATGTAATTATATTATGTACAATCAGTATCAAGTCATTATGAAATTGTCCTCCGGTAATAATTTCGATGATCGAAGATTATAACAATATCTCATACCTAAATAACTTCGAAATATTTTTAGAGTAAAAAATAGCAAAAATTTAAAAAAACCAATAATAATAATTTTCTTGAGTTAAAAGATCATAATTATTTGACAAACAATAGCGAAAAATCATACTGGGAATAAATTCGCAAACATTAAATTAATGGTTATATTCTGCGTTGTCTGAAATGTTAGATCGCAATTCATCTTTTATTCAAAAGCACAAATTTGCGGCTTCGAATGAGCAAACGTCACGACAGAGCTTTTACGTGATTAACAAAAATGATCGGCTGATGCACAATTGGTAGTTGAGTAGTATTACAGATTCTGACATGTAAAATTATGAACTATTTCAGCGTGAAAATCGATTAACTCATAATGTTTAAATTGTGCAAGTTACATTAACGCAGGTATGACAATATCATTTCTATTATTCAACCTTTCAAGTGAACTCAAGTATTCTATCGTTAGTTAAAAATCAATATTGTTATAATTGATTTCATGGCAATATTAATTCATGTGGCTAGTTTTAGTCCACACTCATCTAGTTCCTCTACAGAAAACAATCGAATAATGATAGATTTAAAAATCAATTTAAT